AAAGGTAAAAAGTACTACCCCTACCATACAGGAGTTCTCAAATTGATAAGAAAGGTGAATAGTAGCGCAAAAGCGGGTGAAGAATAAACACAGAGAAATCTTAGGGAAAAATAGAAAATATATTCCACTTAACTAATTAGTAGATAGGAAGGAGCAAAATGATAACCAAATACCCCTTTTCAACCATTGGACTGGCAAAAATTAAAATGGTTTATTAACATCTAGTGTTCACAGGGATATAAGGAACCAAACATTCATAACATTGCAGTTGGGGATATACATTATAATAAATAATCTTATGATTTCTCAGTATCAAGATCTTGCCATTTGAATCCATTATTTCTTCTTTGGAGAATTATTGTACAGAAATAAATGTGTCAGTTGCATAAATATGTGTCTATTAATGATGTTTTTTGAAGCATTGTTCAGTGTCAAAAATCAGGAAATTATTTGAATGACCATAAGTAGAAGGCTGACTAAATTATGGCACATACATTAGATAGTAATTTATTAAGATAATTATGTGTATATTGACTTGAAAAATATTAACTGTTAAGTTTTTTAAAAACATACGGCATAGCCTTTTTTATTAAAAAAGTCCTATTATATGAGTTTTAAAATTATGTAGAAAGAAACACAGTAAAATTTTAGAATTGCCTAACTCAGAAAGGTAGCTTTAGAAGAGACCAGAGTTTATCCTCTTATTCTTTACTTTGTATCTCTTTCCTGTTTGACTTATGACAGCAAGCACATAATTACTTTAAAAAAAAAAAAGAAATAGCAAAGTACAGAGCTTAACTTTAGTCTTTAAAATAAGCAGTAATAGAATGTTTTCAGTTTTTTTATAATGTGTTCATTTTTAATACATGATTATTGTAAAACCGTCTACTCATGCTCATGTATTTTGTTTTACTTTAGCAATGTCTGATCGTCAAGAGAGTGCTCTTATAGAGCTAATGGTTTGTACAATTCGTCAAGCTGCTGAGGCACATCCTCCAGTGGGAAGGGGTACTGGCAAGAGAGTAAGTTAAATTAGTGAGAAATCTACTAAAAGGTTTTTAATGCAATTAACTGTCTTAAATATTTGGAAATTTTACTGATATTTGTATCCCTAAAAACATGGTATTTTTATAAATGATGGACTCTGGTGCTTCATCTTTATATCCTATCTGCTATACTTAGTTTCCAAAAATAGATTCTTTCCTTCATGCTCCTATAGCACCTATACCTGCTTCTGTTATTGTACTTATATGGTATTTTAAGGATTTTTATATCTATTTAAAAAAAAAATACCTAAAGGCTCTGGAAGCAAAATGCCTAGTTTGCAAGTTCTTCTATTTAGCTGCTATATAATCTTTAGATAGATGAATGATTTTTGTATGTCTTAGTTTCCTTATCTGTAATATGGGACTAATAATAGAGGTATTTATATTAGAGGTGAGTTGAGATAATCATAGATGAAGAGACTCCTGGCTCTGTTGGTTTGAAGAGATAGGCAAATCTGTCCACAAAAAGCAAGTATTAAAAAACTGGAATGTATTGTCAAAAACATTACATCAGGGCTCTGGAAATTCACCAAAGATTAAAACACACACACACACACACACACACACACACAGTGGGAAATATTTTTTCCTGAAAAATTGATAGAGCTTCAGGTAAAAGCAGTGGAAGTCTGTGGCCTTCTTGTCAATACACATGTACCCCCATGGTTGGTCGGTAAGATCTGTAGTTTGTTACCAGAGTGGCACTATGTGCAAAAACCCTAAGCTTTCCTGTCAGAGAGAATGGATTCAACATGGACAAGTAATAAAAGCCCACAAACAAACAGGAAAAACCTACAGCTTCAATAATCTGGGGTTGTGGTAAGAGTACTGGACCAGCCGAAAATTTAACTGCCAAATCTTAGATATGAGAATGCTATGAAAGGATTAGCTGTGCTCTCCATACATCCCTGGCTGACTAGGAAACGTTAGAGACGTTAATGGAAAGTAAAAGTCAAGCAAAATCTTAAGAACTGGGTGAACTTTGAACATGCTCCCTAACCAACAACAGATCATTTCTCAGAGGTGTGGAAGCCTGATTGAAGCCACAAATATTGCAATATTTGAACACAACCTCTGCCCAAATGATTGGTCGACTACTAATTTATTCAAACACAACGAGGACTCCTAGGAAGACAGGCTAAAAAACAGAAGTAAGAATAAAAATTCTGAGCAGAGATAGCAGAAGTAACTCACTATGGAGGAAACAGATTATTCAGTTTATGTTAAAGATTCCCTTTAAAAAATTGGAAACTTTTATAATTACAAAAAATTAAAATCTATAGTTAAAAATTGAAATCCGCCAGATTCAGTGACTCATGTCTGTAATCCCAGCACTTATGAGGCCGAGGTGGGGGATTACTTGAAGTCAGGAGTTCAAGACCAGCCTGGCCAACATGGTGAAACCCCATCTCTACTAAAAATACAAAAATGAGCTGGGCAGGGTGGCAAGGGCCTGTAGTCACAGTTACTCGGGAGGCTGAAGTAGGAGAATCACTTGAACCCGGAGGCAGAGGTTGCATGCCACTGCCTTTCAGCCTGGGTGACAGAGCAAGGCTCTGTCTCAAAAAAAACAAAACAAAACCAAGAAAAGCAAAACACAATTAAAATCCTTAGTTACTGTATTATCCAAAAATGTCTACTTTCAAGAAAAACTACAACCATGCAAAGAAACAGTAAAATGTGACCATACTCAGGAAAAAAAGCAGACAATAGAAATGGCTTCTCAGTAGGCCTATATGTTGGATTTAGCAGGCAGACTTCAGAGGCCTTTTAATAAATACATTCGAAGAATTACAAGAAAATATGAAAACAAGAAGTAGAGAATCTCATATATATGAAAACCCAATATGGAATTTGGGTTTTCCATATTATGGAAATAATGAAAACCCAAATGGAATTGGTTTATGAAAACCCAAATGGAATTTCTGGTGAGAAGTACAATGCAAAAATTTAAAATTAACTGAATAAGCTAATTAGCAGATTTAAGATGATGAAAGAAACAATAGAAAAACATGAAGATTAATAGAAATTCATTCTGAAGAATAGAGAAGAAAAAAGATTGAAGAAATATTATCAGAGCCTCAGAAATATGTGGAACACCATCATGTGCACTGAAGTATGTATAATGGGAGTCCCAGAAGGAAAGGAGAGGATAGAGGCAGAAAAAATACTTGAAGAAATCACTGAAAACCTCCCAAATTTAATGAGAGACAATTTACAGATTCAAGAAGCTTAACAAAACCCAAATAAAATAAACACAAAAGTTCCACATGTAGACACAACATAGTCACGTTGTTAAAAGACAAACACAAAAAAATCTTGAAAGCAACAAGAGATAAACAACTAATATAGAGAGCAGTAGCAATAGGATTAAGAGTTAGCTTATCAGAAACAATGGAGCCCAGAAGACAGTGGAATAACATATTTAATGAAAGTCAACAAAATGGCCAACCAAGAATTATAAATTTAATAAGATTGTCTTCCAAAGATGAAGTGTAAAAAACCATTACCAGAGAAACAGAAAGGAGAAATTTGGAGAATGTGTTGCTAGATCTGCCATACCAGAAATACTAGAAGAAGTCCTTCAGCCGGGTGCAGTGGCTCACACCTGTAATCCCAGCACTTTGGGAGGCTGAGGCGGGTGGATCACAAGGTCAGGAGTTCGAGACCAGCCTGGCCAACATGGTGAAACCCCATCTCTACTAAAAATAAAAAAATTAGCCAGGCATGTGGCACATACCTGTAGTGCCAGCTACTCGGAAGGCTGAGGCAGGAGAATCTCTTGAACCCGAGAAACGGAGGTTGTGGTGAGCCAAGATGGTGCAGCTGCACTCCAGCCTGGGCAACAGAGCAACACTCCAACTCAAAAAAAAAAAAAAGGAAAAAAGAGTCCTTCAAGCCATAAGGAATACCATAAGATGATAAAATGAATCCGCAAGAAGGAATGAAAAAAGAAAAAAGAAGGAATGGGCTGGATGCAGTGGCTCACACCTGTAATCCTATCACTTTGGGAGGCCAAGGCTGGTGGATTACCTAAGGTCAGGAGTTCAAGACCAGCCTGGCCAACATGATGAAACCCCATCTCTACTAAAATTACAAAAATTAGCTGGTCGTGGTAATCCCAGCTACTCGAGAGGCTGAGACAGGAGAATTGCTTGAACCCAGGAGGCAGAAGTTTCAGTGAGCCGAGATCACCCCACTGCACTCTAGCCTGGGCGACAGAGTAAGACTCCGTCTCCAAAAAAAAGGAAGAGTGTAAATCTGAAATGGTAAGTATGTGAGTGGATGTAAAAGGTAAAAGGCTGTGTGTGTGTTTGTGTGTGTGTCTGTTTCCTTCTCTTAATTTCTTTGAAAGAACATGAAATTATTTAAATCAAGCTTGTCTAACCTGTGGCCCACAGGCTGCCTGTGGCCCAAGATGGCTTTGAATGCAGCCCAACAAAAATTTGTAAACTGTCTTAAAAGATTATGAGAGATTTTTGCTGGTTTTTTTTTTTTTTTTTTTTTTTTAAAGCTCTTCAGCTGTCGTTAGTGGTAGTGTATTTTATGTGTGGCCCCAGACAATTGTTCTTCCATTGTGGCCCAGGGAAGCCAACAAATTGGATACCCCTGATTTAAATCAATAATTATAGCACTGTAGTGTTGAGATTATAACATAAATATATGTGACAAGAGTAACACAAAAGGGAAAAAGATATGGAACTATATTGGAGCAAAATTGCTATGTTTTATTATAATTAAATCAATATCAATCTGAAATCAGTTATAAGTTAAAAATGTATATGATAATCCCTACAGTAATTATTCATACTTAAAAGTAAAAGCAGAGGAATTATAGTGGTCCTCATCTGTTAGAGACATATGCTGAAATATTTAAGGGTGAAATTATATACTGTTTACCCTTGAACAATGCAGGAGTTAGTGGCACTGACCTGCACAGTCAAAACTCCACGTGTGCTCACTTTGGCAGCAGATACACTGAATTTGGAACAATACAGAGAAGATGAGCATGGCCCCTGTGCAAGGATGACATACAAAATTTATGAAACTTTTTATGAATCTTAAAATTTTAAAAATTCACATGTAACTTTTGATTCCCCCAGAACTTAACTACTGTAGCCTACTAGTAGCCTAAATGATGAGAAGCCTTAAAGCTGTTAGCACAAACATTGGATTAACACATTTTGTATGTAATATGTGTTATACACTGTATTCTTACAGTAAAGTAAGCCAGAGGAGAAAAAAGTTTTTAAGAAAATTATAAGGAAGAGAAAATATATTTACTATTTGTTAACTGGATCAACATAAAAGTCTTCATCCTTGGCATCTTGACATTGAGTATACTGAGGAGGAGGAGGAAGAGGGTTTTTCTCTTGCTGTCTCCAGTGGCAGAGGCAGAAGAGATGGAGATGGAAGGAGAGGCAGGTGCACTCTCTATTTACAGAAATACATTGTAATTTCTGTCTTTTTGCTTTTTTCATTTCTCTAACAATGTTTCTGTGTGATACCAATCCTCCCTCCACTATTTGCTTTAATTTCAGTGCCCTCGTAATACAAGGGTCTGTGTCACCAAAGAAGCAAAAGCAGTCTTGAATAATTGGAACTCTTCTGCCAAATTACCTAATGTTAGTTTAGGCACTCCTTCTTCAGCATTTTCTTCCTCACCATCTGGCACCACTTCAGAAGCACTCATCTCCATCAAGTCATCCTCTATTAGTTCCTCTGATGTAGTGTCTTTTTTGTTTTTGAGACAGAGTTTCACTCTTGTCGTCCAGGCTGGAGTGCAGTGGCGTGATCTCGGCTTACGGCAACCTCCGCCTCCCGGGTTCAAGCAATGCTCCTGTCTCAGACTTCCAAGTAGCAGGGATTACATGTGCTTGCCACCCACCCAGCTAATTTTTGTATTTTTAGTAGACACAGGGTTTCGCCATGTTGGCCAGGCTGGTCTCTTGAGTTCATCCTGACTTCAGGTCATCCACCCGTCTCAGCCTCCCAAAGTGCCGGGATTACAGATGTGAGCCACCTCTCCCAGCCTTTTTTTGGAGACAGTCTCACTCTGTTAACCAGGCTGGAGTGCAGTGATGCTCTCTGGGCTCACTGCAGCCTCTGCCTCATGGGTTCAAGCAATTCTCCTGCCTCAGCCTCTCGAGTAGCTGGGTTTTACAGGCATGTGCCACCATGCCCAGCTAATTTTCTGTATTTGTAGTAGATACGGGGTTTCACCATGTTGGCCAGGCTGGTCTTGAACTCCTGACCTCAGGTGATTCTCCCACCTTGGCATCCCAAAGTGCTGGGATTACAGACGTGAGCCATCATTCCTGGCTGGTGTCTATTTGCTCTTTAATTTCTCTAAGATCTATATCTTGAAGTCTTTCATTCCCCACATTTTATACTATAACCATAATCTCTGATGTGTTTCTTGATTGGTTCTGTCATAAGTTGTGTGAAATCATACATAACGTCTGGACACAGTTTTCTCCAACAGGTATTTATTTTTGGGGGGACTTGATGACTTTAAAACAACAATGGCATTTTCAGTGGTGTAATTCTTCCAGACTTTCATGATATTCTAGCAGGGTGTTCTCTTCAATAGTGTTGACAGTCTTTTCCTTTGAGTAATATGTTTAATGACTTTTAAGGGTTCTATGAACCCCCGATCTGTCGGCTGATTTAGAGATATTGTGTTTAGGAGCAAGTAGACGATTTTGATGCCTGTGGCATTGAACTTACTGGGTTCTGGTTGGTCAGGGGCATTGTCCGTTATCAGAAGAACTTTAAAAGGCAATCCCTTACTGGCAAGGTACTTGCTGGCTTCAGGGACAAAGCGTCAGTGGAAACCAATCCAGAAAAGGGGTTCTTGTTGTCCAGGCCTCCTTGTTACACATTACTGGCCAAAAAGACTAGCAGCTGGTGTTTATCATTTCCCTTCAAGGCTTTTGAGGGTTAGCAGCTTTACAGATAAGGGCAGTCCTGATCATAAACCCACCTTCATTTGCACAAATGAGTAGATTAATGTTATTTCTTCTTGCTTTAAAGTGGTGCTCACTTCTCTTCCTTACTAATAAGTGTCCTTTGTGGCATTTTTTTCCCCCCAGAGTAGGGCACTTTGATCTGCATTAAAAACCTGTGCAGGCAGATATCCTTTCTCTTTAGCGATTTCAGCTGCCTCTTGGTCAGCAGATACTGTTTTTCCTGTTCTCTTAACATTTTTAAAGTGAAACCTCTTTCTAAAATTATCAAACTATCCTTTGCTGGCTTTAAATTCTCCAGCTTTGTAACCTTCACCTTCCTTTTGCTTTAAGTTGTCATTATATGACTTTACTCTTTTTGAATCATATGAGTATAGGTGTGCCTTTTTTGTAGCAATTCTGCACCCATATAGAAGCTGTACTTTTAATGTGAAATAAAAAGGTATTTTGCAAAAGGTACAGTGGTTTTTGCACCTGCTAGTATAGCAGTGATAGCTTTACGAAAAAAAAATTTTTTTTTTTACAGTGGTCCTTATACTGGATTCATTTATCTTGAAATGGTGGGCAACTGTAGCTGCAGACATATCAAGCAATTTAATTTTTTTCTTTAAATTTTTTCTTGTAATAACTTTTCTCTGCTTCTTGGGAACACTTCCAGCATCACTAGTAGCACATATGGGTCCCATGATGTTATTCAGGGTTTATGGTATTGCACTAAACATGATAAGTGAGAACCACAAGATCACTTTTGACTATGATACACAATTCACTGGAGAGACCAACTGTTCATGCAAAGATGATTAGTGTCATGGGACTTTTTTAGTAAATACTTGGCAATACTTGAGCTCACTGCAATAGCAACAGTAGATGTGTACAGTATTATTGTAGTGGAATGTATACTATAGTTGATTCTGTACAGTTATGATTAATGCGATATCTTTTTTTTTTTCTTTTTTTTTTCTTTTTTTGAGATGGAGTCTCGCTCTGTTACCCAGGCAGGAGTGCAGTCGTGTGATCTCAGCTCACTTCAACCTCTGCCTCCCGGGTTCAAGCGATTCTCCTGCCTCAGCCTCCTGAGCAGGTGGGATTACATGCGCGTGCCATCACACCCCACTAGTTTTTGTATTTTTTTTTTTTTTTTTTTTTTTTGAGACGGAGTCTCACTCTATCCCCCAGGCTGGAGTGCAGTGGCGCGATCTCGGCTCACTACAAGTTCCGCCTCCCGAATTCAGGCCATTCTCCTGCCTCAGCCTCCTGAGTAGCTGGGACTGCAGGCGCCGGCCACTGCGCCCGGCTAATTTTTTGTATTGTTAGTAGAGACGGGGTTTCACCGTGTTAGCCAGGATGGTCTCGATCTCCTGACCTCGTGATCCACCCGTCTCGGCCTCCCAAAGTGCTGGAATTACAGGCATAAGTCACTGCGCCCAGCCTTTTCTCTTTTTTTTTTTTTTAGACACGGAGTCTCACTTTGTCGCCTAGGCTGGAGTGCTGTGGCGTGATCTCGGCTTACTGCAAGCTCCGCCTCCCAGGTTCACGCCCTTCTCCTGCCTCAGCCTCCCAAGTAGCTGGGACTACAGGTGCCCGCCACCACGCCCAGCTAATTTTTAGTAGGGGCGTGTATTTTCAGTAGAGGCAGGATTTCACCGTATTAGCCAGGATGGTCTCCATCTCCTGACCTCATGATCCGCCCGCCTCAGCCTCTCAAAGTGCTGGGGTTACAGGCGTGAGCCACCATGCTCGGCCTATATTTTTTACTAGGGTTGGGGTTTCATTATGTTGGCCAGACTGCTCTTGAACTCCTGATGTCCAGTGATCTGTCTGTCTCAGCCTCCCAAAGTGCTGGGATTACAGGCGTGAGCCACCACTCCCAGCCATAATACTATATCTTTATTCATGTTGCTGTCATGTGCAAATGGTGCCATGTACAGCCTGTAAGTGTGTGTGTAAGTTTTAATAAATGTTCTTACAATAGATTTGTATATATTTTATAGTAGTGAATGTTAAATATCTACATATATTTTATACATCATGACGAATCTAAATTTGCTTTGGTTTTCCAATAGGCTACATGGCTTGTCTGCAAGTTTTTTTTTTTTAATTGTTGCAGATCTCCAAAAAATTTTCCAATATGTTTATTGAAAAAAATCTGTATATAAATGAACCATGTAGTTTCAAACTGTGTTGTTCAAGGGACAAATGTGCAAGGATATGCCCTAAAATGCCTTGGGGGAAAAAAAAACTGCAGGAGAATTAATGAAACAAGAATGACAGGGCTAATGGTTATTGTGCTTTTGAATGTTTCTGAAATTTTCCTTAATAGTCTTTAAATTATGTGCTGTCCCACCTTTGACTAGTGATAAGCCCCTTCATACTAATTTATTGTCCTTTTCACATATTTTCTTCTTTTTTAAATTACTTTCTTGCTTTCTTGGGAAACAAGATGCCCCAGGTTCACTTTCTACCTTTACTGCTTGAGTAGTTATCTATTGCAGTGTAACAAATTACTCCAAAGTTAAAGATGTGTGAAATAATAAGCCTTTATTATCTCATACAGTTTCTGTAGATCAGAAATTTTGGAAGAGCTTAACTATTCTTTTGGCTTAGGGGCTTCCATAGGGTTGCAGTCAAGACGTTAGCCTGGGCTTTAGCATCTGAAGACTTGACTTGGAATTGCAGAATCCACTTCCACAATGGCTTACAAGTTAGTGCTGACCATTGGTAGATGTTAGTGCTTCACCATGTGGGTTTCTCTATAGGACTGTTTGAATGTTTTCATGACATGGCTGCTGACTTTTCCTAGAGTGAATGATCCAAAAGAATAAGGTAGACACTGCCATGTCTTTTATAACATAACCTCAAAAATTACACAATATCATTTTCAAAATATCCTATTGGTTATACAAGTCAGCTTTATACATTGTAGGACGAGGTTGTATAAGGGCATGAATACAAGGAAGGTAGGGATCATTGAGATTTACTTGAATTTTAGATTCCACACTAGCACAAGAATCAGCCATTTCTCCAATGAGCCATGGTTCCTTTTAATACAGAGTAGTATTTAAAGATTAAAATACTGATACTCAGTTAAGAGGA